GCGATAAATTTTCCGGCACAAGGGATGATTTGGTGCGTTTCTAAATGATGATGGTCGTAAATATTGGCGAGTGCTTTGTGCATTTTATATAAGTAATGCATCTTGGATGGCTTTATATCTCCTGACAGAAATCGCTGTAGACGCTACAGTATATAGCGTACTCGCCCCACGGAGGCGCGAAAAGAAGGCACCTACACTCCTTGTAGTTTGGGACAATACTAGTTTATTTTCCAAGAAAAACAGGCTTCGTAAGCGACTACCAAGAGGGGCGTGGCTGCGTATCTACCGCGGCCCTTCGGAGATAACGTGAGGCATGTTGTTCGCGTCTGCGCCGTGCGCCTCGGCATACAAATTGGTATGCGCACACAAATAAAGTGATCGTGATCACCGGCGTCATCGCCCGCTACAAGGGGTCCCCCCCCTAGACCGCGGAGCCTGGGAAAAAAAACAAGCAAATGTGCGAGTTAGTCCATGAGGTGAGCCGGTTTCACGCGATCGAGAGAAATGACGTCCTCTCTGTCGCGAACACGGTCACAGTTTTGTGCGACCGCGAAAGCACACGGAAGGGCCCGTCGTACGCCGAAGTCAACGGCGCTTTCACTGTGTCACGTCGCACGAACACATGGGTTGCCTCATTCATGTCTGGGAAAGAAAACACTCTTTGGTTGCTGCTGACGCGTGGCGCGCTGGGTTGCAGGTGCTCCAACCAGGAATGTAGCCTTTCCATATGTTCTGAAGACGTCAGCGTAGCGCTTGGTTTCTCACCGAAGAATTATACCGGTAGTCGGATTGTAGAGCCGTACAGCATTTCTGCTGCACAGAATCCGAGGCCTTCTTTTATCGCCATACGCAGGCCCAGAAGAACGAGAGGGAGCTTCTCCACCCAGTGCTCTCTATCCAATTTGGCCGTTAAAGATGCCTTCAGTTGAAGGCCTAGCCACTCCACCATTCCATTGCTCGCTAGATGGTAAGCTGTGGTGTACTGGAGCCGTGTTCCCAGAAGCCTTGCCAGCGCAGAGAATAGGTTGCTCTGGAATTGTCGTCCACGATCGGTCGTTATGCGCAGTGGGCAGCCATAGCGTGAAACCCATGTGGCCACAAACGCCTGTGCGACCGTCCCGGCTGCGATGTCCAGAATTGGCGTCGCCTCGGGCCACCATGAGTATCGGTCGACACAAGTGAGCAGGTATCTGTAACCCTGGGAAGGAGGAAGAGATCCCACCAAGTCCCAGTGCACGTGACCGAAATGCTTGGAGTGCTGTGCGCGTGCGACGAGTCACCTTGACTGCTTGACATGTTCGACCCGTCTTCGACCAGCATCGAACGTCGGCGTTAATTCCGGGCTACACAAAGCGGTCAGTGACGAGCCTCTGCTTCGCGCGGATTTCTGGGTGGCTGAGGTCGTGAAGGCTGTCAAATACTGCACGCCGAAACTGGACGGGGACGAAGGGTCTTGGATATTTCTGTGATGTGTCGCATGTGACCATAGTCGTCGTGTATCGTAGTGGGATCTCTTCGAGCACCAGTGACAGTGGATTCTGCCTCACCTCGGTTAGCTCTGGGTCTTCCCGCTGGGTGGCGGCTAATGTCTTAAAGCCGACGGACGCTGAAACGGTGTCGATACGGGAGAGTGCGTCGGCTGCTTGGTTTTCGCTCTCCGTTATGTGGCGGATGTCCATGGACAATTCGGAAATGAAAGAAAGTTGGCGCAGTTCTCTTTCCAAATATGAGGAACTGTTGCTCTTGAACGCATACGTCAGCGGCTTGTGGTCCGTTAAAATGTGGAAAATGCGGCGTTCTACGAAGAAACGGAGATGCTTTACGGAGGAATCAGTGGCCAGCATCTCTCTTCCAAAGGTGCTGTAGCGCACTTCCGCCTGTTTCAGACGTTTAGAAAAGAAACCTATCAGTTTCCAGTCCTTGCCGTCGCATTGTTGCAACACTGCTCCCACTGCCGTCGTTGAAGCGTCAACCATGAGCCGCGTTGGCGCGTCGGAAAGCAGGTGCATCAGAAGTGTTGCGGAGGCAAGCTGAGTTTTCGCGTCCTGGAAGGCTTTTTCGTGCTCCACTGACCAGTGAAACTCGGGCGTTTTCCTGCCGTCCCGGCGCAGCAAGTCAGTTAGCGGCTGTAGAATGTGTGCACAGGATGAGATGAAGCGCCTATGGAAGTTGATTAGCGCGAGAAACTCGCGAAACTTGCGGAAAGAGGAAGCGTGGGGAATTCCCTGACCGCTTGCACCCGTGATTCGAGCGGAAAGATGCCTTGCGGGCTGATTCGATGACCTAGGAAATCTAGTGCTTCAACACCAAAGATGCACTTTTGGGGCTTCAAAACCAGACCATGCTCGTCAAGACGCTTGAAGACGAGGCTCATGTGATTTTCATGCTCCTCCGGCGTTTTGCTGGCGACCAAAATGTCTTCTAAGTAGACAAAAACAAAGAGCAGTCCACGAGTGACCTCATTCATGAAACGCTGGAAAGGTTGTGCCGCGTTCTTCAGTCCGTACGGCATACGAACAAATTCAAAGAGGCTGAAAAGCGTTGTCAAGGCCATCTTTGGGATGTCGCTTGGTTCTACTGGAATCTGGTGATAAGCGGCCATCAGATCCAGCTTAGTGAAGATGGTCGTTCCCGCGAGGCGAGCGCTGAAATCATGGATGTGTGGGGAGAGGATATTGGTCTGCCGTTGTCACAGCATTGAGTGCCCGATAATCACCACAAGGCCGCCAGTCACCAGACTCTTGTTTTGGCACCATGTGCAGCGCGGAAGACCAGTTGCCGGAAGAAGGTCGAATAATGCCGAGTTGGAGCATGTGGTTGAACTCACGGCGGTCGACTTCGTGTCTTTGCCCAGCGAGTCTCCTAGGTCTAGCGGTGACGGGCGGTCCGGTGGTGACATTGTGATGCGTCACCTTGTGTTTCATTGGCAGTTCGGTGTTCCGAGGTCTGGTGATTTCAGAGAATTCAGCCAGAATCTTTTGAAAGATTGACTCTGGGTTGAAAGTGCAAATGCCGCATGAGGAGAGGTCAGACTTCAGTCCGATAACAGTGAGCGAAGTGACGTTATCCTTGACACGACGATCGCGAACGCTGACGTCAAGATTGAAGTGGCCCAGAAAGTCTCCTCCCAGGATAGAAATTCTGACATCGGCCACAACGAAGAGCCATCGATATGTACGCCTGAGTCCGATGTCTATCGTCATTGACTGGACTCCATATGATGCAATAGCAGTAATATTGACTGCAATTGGGCTCAAAATGGCTTGCCGCACCGGCGATGTTGAGCTGCTGCTGGTAGGATAGATAGCTCCGCTCCGGTATCGCAAGGAGGCGTGTGCCGGTGATGCGGTCGACAACAAAGAAGAGGAAGCTTGAACGATGGCGCGTGTCGCTTTCCGCCGTTAGCGACTGGCCGGTGCGTTTCCCGTCCACGAGCATGGATGGGTGCAGCGAGTGGCTTGCTCTCTAAAACGACGGTGGTACCAGCAGATGTTCTGCTCTGCCTCGCTTGAGTGTCAGCGGTGCTGCGGGCTTCGAGCACGGGACGGTGAGCAATGCCGTGCAGGCCGGTGTTTGTTGGACAGGGCGAGGTTTTCAACTGCTGCAGCCAGTCGGTCAACTCTGTCCTCTAAGCGACCTAACCGGTCTGCATGTTCGGGCCTTCCCGTTGCAGCAATAGACATTTTTGGTGGCTCAGTGCAGTCGGCGATGCGGTCGGTGAGTTGAGCCAGACGTTCGAGAGTCACATCATTTGAGCCATCGAGTATCATCCGTGTTGACTGTGGCAGTCTCTGCAAAAACAACTCGCGAAACAATAGATGTTGACGCTGCTCTGACGCTTGTTGGCCCAGCAGCTGACGCATTCGGTGGAGTAGTTGCGAGGGACGCTGGTCACCGAGCTCTTCATGAGACAGGAGTTGTCGCAGCCTGCTCTGTTCGGCCACCTCAAGACGTTTCAGGACGGTGCTTTTTAGTTCCTCGTAGGGCTTCTCCGATGGAGTGGAGGCGAGCACATCGTCTACGGCGTCAGCGATGTCAGGTGGCAGTGCTGAAACGACGTGCAGGTATTTCGACTGCTGCGATGTGATGCGTCGAAGCAGGCCTCGATTTGGCTGAACCACACCCTGGGGTTTTTGGGCCAGAAATGAGGAAGCTTTAACTCCGAGGCGTTGGTTGTGGGTGAGCTTGCAGTGCCTTCTTCGTCTGACATGGCTGCTGTTTTTCCAAACGTCCGGGTCACCACTTTGTAGCGTACTCGCCCCACGGAGGCGCGAAAAGAAGGCACCTACACTCCTTGAAGTTTGGGACAAGACTAGTTTATTTTCCAAGAAAAACAGGCTTCGAAAACGACAACCAAGAGGGGCGTGGCTGCGTATTTTCCGCGGCCCTCTGGAGATAACGTGAGGCATGTTGGCCGCTGTTAGGAATTTGCTGTGTCGCGATGGTAGCGGTGGCGAAGAGCGGTGAGCCGTCGAGCGGACTTCGCTGAAGCCTTTGCCGGAAGGCGAAGCAGGGGGGCAATCCGTTTTGAAAACAGCAACAAGAAGGAGCGTTTACTGTAGCAGGTTGTCGTTGGTACAGAGCCAGCCAGCACGACAACGTCGGCTGGGGCCAATCCTCCTAACATGGGGCCGGCACGGCCTTAAATAGCGTTTTGGGACTCTTCTGCGAGACCAGTTCCCCGGAACGGCACAGTGGCTCGGCTGAGGAGGCACAGCCATACCCGGAACTGCAAGGTGGTTCGGCGGAGGAAGCGACGTTATCCCCGGAACTGCACGGTTCTTCTGCACGGAAGGGGGCACTGGTAGGGGGGGGGGGAAGACAGTTCTTCGGAACAGCGCTCGATCTCGTGAGACGTGCTCCCGAACGAGGAACATGTCTGTGGCACAACACCGCGTCTGCGCCGTGCGCCTCGGCATACGAATTGGTATGCGCACACAAATAAAATTATCGCGATCACCGGCGTCATCGCCCGCTACAAGTAAGTATAAGAGACGTGCTTGAAGTAACAATGTTGTTAAATTTATTTTCCTTTGTTTTCACAAGGCAAAAACACACAAGAACATGTGACAACAATGATTTGTGGGTGGCAGTATGAACCATATTCTTGGGGTATGTCCTATGTACAAACATGCGTATGCATAGAGAAACAGCGGCGGAAGCGTTCGTTGTGAGTTATCGAGCATTTTCTGCGGCTGAGTCGTATGTAGTGCGCTGCTTATGTGGGTTACACAAAACCGATGAGGCCGCTTTTAGTACACATAAAAGGACTGTGCGAAACACTCGGGACGCATGTAAGTGCAACACACGTTGTAGATGTGCTGCAGTCTGCGTATACGCTGATCATGAGATGCCACAGATAACGAAGCTGTAGGTTTCTGATGCAACTGCTTCTGAGATCGTTACTTCTTCTCTACTAAACACACACTCATGCCCTATGCAGTGCCACACAGCTCTCGTGTCAATACACGTACATAATGCTCGGGATTGCGTTAAGTGGAAGTTATTATGCCTATAGCTATATGAACTAATAACCGCGACAGACATTAAAAATATAACAAAACTGTGTCAACAATGGCCTTCTCATAACAAATGGCCCAACATAAAACCAAGTACACAAAATACACACTCGCACTTGCGCTGTGCTTTATTTTTACTTTTGTGGCATGGTTCCACAGTAGTAACAAGTATTCCTGACCAAATAACAAATGCCTGACAATATCTAGTCGCGTGTTGAGGACATGTCACTTGTCGAAGCGCATGTACAAAAAGTTCATTACCATAGCCTAAAACACAATAAATGGCCGGCGTCGCGCAACGCTTGAGCTCTTTTTGTTTCTTATGCCACGGTTCTTTAAGCCTGGGGTTGCGTTTTCCGATTGATATATTCATTGGGTATCTATCCAAATTATGCGTGAACCGCGAATTATTTGGAGCGACTACTGCTCGGCAACCAAACTCCTGCTATACTGCTGTCTTTTAGACCCAAGGCTCCAGATACCAGGATGATCATATAGGGGTCTTACGTACTTACGTAAGTAGTAATGATTGAGCAATATCAATGCTGCACCGACCACATTGGTTAAGCTGAAATGCGAAGCGCTAACGTTCAGCCAAACTCGGAACACGCTTACTGCTTACTTCCGCGCTTCTACAGTTACCGTCGAGCTTTTAAACTTTGAACTTCATTCCGCAACAGCTATATACGCTGGATACGTAGCGCTAGTTTCACTGTAGGGCTCTACCTGAAACATTTGGAAACGTTTCTTTCAGAAGTCACTTGTATGAAGGAACGCTTCTGTGTACATCGGGTTTGTTGAAAATTTGTTTGAGAGCTGGCTGCGTGAATCCTCTTGAAGACAATTTCTAACACGCAGTGATATTCTGGCCAAACTTCACTATCCAACTACAGATATTCGACGTGGTTTTGAACGCGCTATTTCATAGACTCTGCGGGTGTAAATATCATAAGCATGGTGTGTGAACGAAATGCGTATGACACGAACTTTCTCAGCCTGAGCTCGACAAAACATATTAGTACTGGTTTTTTATCGTATAGGTACTACATAATATAAATTGTTATGGAGTAGGGCACGAAATATACAACACTATACAGGATAATTACAACCTCGTCTTCACTTCCTCTTTTTTTATCTGCTTGTGACAGCGCGAGTTCTATGCAACACTGTTGCCTTACATTAAATGCACTCTCTTTATTGGAATTCCAAGCCTTGTATGTATGTACTCTGCATATGAGGCGCTTACGTCCGACACAAGTACATGTTTGTTGAAACAAATATGAACAGGCTGCGTGAAAGCGCTCGCAACATCGAGCAAAAGAGAACAGCTGAGAATAGGAGAAGCAAAACGAATGACGCCCATTCACTACTGCCTGCTTAGAGCAGATAATGGAGAGTTGAAAATAAAAGAGAGGAAGAAAAGTATCAAAGTAAACAGTAACGGCACAGAAGCACCTCTATTTCGATACGTCCGCCACCAAACGAAAGGTGGTGTTTCCTCAGAGAGGTTAAATAACACACTGCCATAAAAACAATGGTTTAGCAACAATAAAGACACCCGCCATCTTTCTCCGGGCAAATATAGAAAGGTTGCGGAACTTTTGCAGCACTGAAAAGTAAATCGAGCTTTTTAAATATATTGTGAGCACAGTATTCACTGGGTTTGTTCTTCATCCTCTTCACTGGTACATATATAATCAGTATAGCGGTGAGCATCTTCGCCTGAAAAATTGATGTAGCGGCTCCGCTGAATAAACGGCGTCGAACCCACGATATCACTGCCTACTTGCAATATTTATGTCGCTAAGAGTTAGACTGCGGCATATTTATACTGCGCGCTTGCAGTGGCCTCGTGCATCGCTTCATATCAGTGATGCGTTTTCACATAGAGAAAGAGAAAGAGAAAGAGAAGGCGGTCGAACGAACACACGGCTCAACAGAGGTTATTCGAAGCACATAGGGCTTTTCAACTTATGAGCTCCCATGTGCCATTCTAGAGTCCCAACTTGTGGCTTCGCACGACGATCGCGCCCAACACGGCAGGCTTATGCCTCTAAGCAAGACAGTTGCGCAGTGTTTTTGTTCTCCTCAGGCGACATGAACAATGTCTTGTACAGGCTCGCTCATTCAGACAACTTTGTCAGAAATACTAACACACAGTATATCTAAAGTTAGCTTCCAAAGAGTAGCAGACTCTACAAAACTCGCACCAGACAAATGGCTCAGCCTTCTCTGCGAGCACACAGGTGTAATTCCCGCATAAGTCTATATGTGGGCACAAGCTACGCGCAGTTGTGATGTAACTTGTCGTGCACCACAAGCCGTTCATGTCTCGCGTGAGTTACAAGTGCGCGGATGCATCCCACTTGCGCTCTGGTCCAGAGAGGGTCGGAGCAAAAACAAGTGGGGACATCGCGACAGATCTCTCACGGCCTTCGAGTCCGTTTCGGTGACCGCCGCAACATTTAAGTCGGGGCGACGTCGTGCGCCACTGTCAGTAGAGTGTGGATCCACCGCCGGACACCCGGGAATTGTCCAGGTCCGAGCTGGCGCGAAAGCTCTGGCTCTTCTTCTGATTGTAGAGCACCACGAGGAGCACGATGAGGGCAAGCGCGAGTGCGATGGCCACGGCCACCATGGTCCAGGCCAGGGTCCGGTACAGGGGCTCCACATAGCCAGGAGGGGTGACCAGGGCGCCCGAGCGCGTGTCGTCATCTTCGCCGCTCCGCTGACCCAACAGTGCCGGTGAGATGCCCGACCAGAAGCGCGTCGCCTCGACCCGGTACTCGGTACCCGGCTGCAACGAACGACCGATGCGGTACGACGACACGTTGCTGGGCGTAGCCCGCGACCACGCAGGGTACTCGAAGTTCGGGTACTGCGGCGCCATTCTGTGCGGAAAAGCAGCGTGAACATATACATATGTAACATGTACATATAACGTGAGAGCTGGATGAAGTTTCAATTATCTCTAGGTTCGTTCCGAAAAGAAAAAAAATACCTCACATTGATCACATTGTTCGCTATTCACCATCAATACGTTTAAAAAAGGCTGATTGCTTGTTAGAAGATTTAAGGACAACAATTTAAGGACGAGGCGTAGACGTTACGGCTATGATGCAGAGCATAATTTCTTGATAATCACCGAACAGTAGACCTCACTGAATAATATTTATGTTTTAGCACGCAGACATGACGTGTCAGATATCCAAATGGGTACAGTGGATATGTGACAGAGGTTCGTCGCTACGTCTAATAGGAGTAATTTTCAGCGCTGGCTACGAAAAGGCAAGGACATCAATACCGGGACCAACAACTTTGTGCAATGAACCATCGACCGTATATCCATCTGTAGATAAACCCCTGTTGTGTCATGCTGCCAATTTATGCCCGCGATTGATAAGTTTGCGGGTATAAACTGGCAGCAGCAAGCACAGGACCGAGTTGACTGGCGGTACATGGGAGAGGCTTTTGTCCTACAGTGGACGTAGTCAGGTTGATGATGATGATGTCATGCTTAGCTGCGAAACACTTCACTAGTTTTCTTTCTTTTTGCTTATTTGCTCGCAATTTTCTTTAATATGTCCGTGCGCAAAGGTGGTCACGGTGGCCACCGCTTTTTGAGATCGAGCGAAAATGATATCGTTCTCTGTGCCATTGACAATAGAGTGCAGGTTTTATGGGCCATATTTTGCAGCCGCACGCATGCTAGAAAGCGGTTGCCACGGCTAACACGAAGAAAATAAACGAGCCCTACACATACCAGTTTATGTTTCAAGTTTAACTTTAGCGAGTGTGCAACGTAAGCGGATGTCTGCACTGTCCGGTTCACCGTTCGCTTGGCCATGCGCCGAATGAATGCGGTACTGCGACACACAGATGCAGTGCTCATGCCGCAGAATGTCGACGTATTCTGTCTCAGTATAGAAATTTTATCGTGGGCGCCACTATGTACGGGTGACCTTGTCCATAATCTCGCAACCCACTGGCTTGCGAAAAATGTCATTCGTCTTTGCATGGCCACGGGAACTTTGGGCCATTTTCACGCACCAGAAAGGCGGGAAACTCGAGGTGCCCGACCACCCTTTCATGACTTGTAAAAATGGTCTGTAGTAGCATTCTCCGCCCGCGTAGCAGTAGTAAGTAATATCATCTGCTGCGGATCAGACAGCTTCAGTGTGCATATTTCTTTGCCAGTAACACTTTCAAGCTATTACTCAGAGGTGCCCAAAAGAATCTAGGGTTAGCCTCGCCTTCAACAAGCCTTGTCGTACGCAATAAAGTAAATCGAGTAGACTACATTCCCCGACGTCCTGTATCTGTGTTTGTTCTACTTTTTCTAATTATAAATGATTTGCGTGCATTGTATACCCGCTCTTGGCAAAATCTGTCCAGAGGTTGATGATCCTGCTGCTGACGAGTGAGTCGAGGCTGGACAGTGGCCGCAGTCCATCAGCCGTCACATCGAAAAGATAGATCAGCTCATCACCATTGGAGACACCTGTGAGTATGAAAGTACACCACTTTCGTTTCCCTCTCATTAGATATGACTTCTCGAAAAGTAGTACCTATGCGCTTGAAAGTACACCCTGTAAACAATGGCAAAAGAAGCCCATGTGACACTAGCGACCATAAAGTATGTTATTTTTAAATATTTATTGTCATTATACTTGTGTAAACTAGTTTTAAGCAAGTGTACTTGTACTTACTCAGCCGTACGAATTGTGTATGACAGTGTTTCAACACACTTCCACGAGCTCACAGTCACTTCTATATCTTGAACAAAATGATTCATACTCTAATCACTACGATGTATTGTTGTCAAGCGCGTACACTTTTTTTCCTTTTTTCTTTTTTTCTTTATCAGTCTAAAGATACCTAGTGCCTCTTCATTCCACGGGCCTTCGTATGCATGCGCATGGCCTTGGTTCATTTTTAAAACATTGCTTAAAAGCGTGAAATATAGTCGTTAACATGTGTGCGTGCGGTCTGACACTGCCATATAACATTACATAAACGCATGATTTGAGGTCGTTAACGCACTGCCTAAGCCATGGCAAGACACTTATAATCCGGACATTCTCAACTAATTGTGATCGGCGCGCACGTAAACAAACACGACAAGCGATCACGGGAACACTGTTCGACTCGCTCGCGAGGGGCGCACCCGTATCGTGTGCATCATGCCTGCACAGCCAGTGGGAGCACCTACGCACCTAGGTCGTAGGACTGCCTTTGGAAACCGAGTCGGGCATCGAGCAGGCTGGTGTCCCCTCGGTACTCGAACACGTACATGTAGGTAGGCGCGTCGAAGCGTGAGTACTTGGCCAGTGTTAGCTGGTTCGGCGCCACGAACATTGCATCCGTGGACATCTGCGCAGAAAGCGTGCAAACATTGTAACTGTACATTGCTTGGAATGCGCAAGATATGGAATACAATGTTCATGAAACGCGTCATACGTGGAACGAGATATTATGCAATAATCACGTATACTAGTTTCCATTTTGGGTGGCTCAGACGCTTTTACTTCAAAGCGAAAGAACGAGCGAGGTTGTCCCTCGATGTTGAGCCAAAATTTTGTGTACAAATAAATATCTGCAATAAACGTGTGCAGATTTCGTCATGGTACATACCACTCCTTGAAGTGCGATAGTCTGCTGCGTACTATACTGAAGATAGGGTCAATCACCGGGTAGGAAGTCACAAAATTGGAACAGGATATACAAACAGCAGTTTCCTCTATAGGTCGTGTTAAAGAAAAGGCAGAGAGAAACTTACTGGAGACAATGTCAACTCAAACATGCAAATAACCGGATTTCAAGAAATCACTTGTAAGATAGACAAGTGTGTTTTATGAAAAAAGAGGCCACATCGCATGAAAAGATACAAAACAAGATCGCTTGCTGCAACCAAAGAACTCGACTGATATCACTTTTCTTGGTTCGATTGTGCATAACAGCAGACTAATTTTTGTGGCAACAGAGCGTTAAGTACAGACAGAAAGCAGGCGCACTTAATATGTCTCTTATATCACCGCCCGCTTGTGCTTTCATCCGCCTAAGTGAAAGCTGGAGAAGAGAATAAATAAACACCTGATTTACTGTGTAAATATAAAAACGTCTGAATCTTTTTTTCTCCATAATTCACTTACATGCTTTCCTGGGCTTTAATATAAGCAAAACCACGCATTCAAACTGCAAGTTAGACTCAATAAATGTCTCTTCTAAGACACCGAAAAAATTGCCGAACACTGCCTAAATGTTTGCCGCATGTAACACATAGGCTGGAGCTGCCCCCCAACCATCCCCCTTCCGAACGTTTTCGATTCATTGTCACAGAAATCTAATGACGCCCCACCGCGGTGGTCTAGTGACTAAGGTACTCGGCTGCTGACCCGCAGGGCGCGGGTTCGAATCCCGGCTGCGGCGGCTGCATTTCCGATGGAGGCGGAAATGTTGTAGGCCCGTGTGCTCAGATTTGGGTGCACGTTAAAGAACCCCAGGTGGTCTAAATTTCCGGAGCCCTCCACTACGGCGTCTCTCATAATCATATAGTGGTTTTGGGACGTTAAACCCCACATATAAATCAATCAAATCTAATGACGAATACTCTGAGCAGTGTCTTGTAGTTCTAAAAAAACGAGTTATGGACAAATCTGTTCAATACGAAGTACTGGCCAATCGTGATAACGGAGATATTAGCCAAGGAGGTTAAGCAATGGGACAGAGCAGTTACAAAAATATGTGAATTCGGTTCCGTGTTTCTCGAAATGGCGAGGCCGTAGCAAACTAATGTTAGTCCTATATGTGAGGACACGCCAGCTGTACCATTCGTGCTTAATTGCGGGGTAAAAACCAGCAGCAGCATGGGTGTCTGTACTGCGCTCGTTCCCTGTTCCAACTTGAAAATCTCGTAAGCCGAACTGTCACTACTAATTGCGAATTTCTTTGACACATACTGTGTAAAATATATCTCTAAGTTGTGAGCTTTGAGCCAAACAACGTATATTCACCGTGTTCGCAGCATAGCGGCTCTGCCGCAGAGAGGCTTCATTGATTAAAAAGAAAAGTTGTTTTTGCTCAGCAAGGCTTAGATAAAAAATGCACAACGTTGCATTTTATCATGGATATTACGAGTGCATAAAGGAGAGCGTATGCATCTACGGGAAGAACCCGTGAGTCAAAATTGACCCGTAGCATCTCATTTTTATAGCTTTGGGATGTGAACGAGGTTGGTACAGTCGTGTAGCGGGCATACGTACACATCGTTAGGCTAGCTCTGTGCGCTAGAGCAAACGCGAACTTACATTCACGTAATAGGATACGGTTGATTAACCGACGAACATCCTTGTACCTTGGATGTGTGTTCCACGTTGTTTATCAACGATTCAATACTGTTGTATCGTATATAGCTCAAAACAGCGTTCATAACTTCATACCCATTACTCTGCTCAATGCAATAGGCAGTAGCCACATATGTGGCAATTCTGGCCGTAAAGAGGCATAGGTGCGTCCACAGGGGGAGCAGGGGAGTGACCGCCTCCTTCCACGCCCCCCCCCCCCCCCATAATGTCCTAAAAAGGAGAGGGGGGGGCAGGGGTGCAATGTCTTTCACATAAATGAACTCTATACGGATGGGGTCATGCGACGAACCTTTTCATGTTATTTTAACTGGTTTCAGTGCGCAATTATGTTTTCTTTTTTGTCTTTGTTTTTGCTCGTTGTTCATTTTGGGTACCATTAACTATTGTTTTTTCACTCCAGAACTCATCGATTTGGAGTAGGTGAAGTAATATAGACCTCAACGTCTCCACAGCAAAACAGTTAGAACAGAACAGAGCAGATTATTTCTTAAACATCTACCAGCAGACCAGCAAATGACGTATGTGCAAAGGGGCATACACGAAAAAACACCATTTCAATGACAACGCCCCTTGAGACCTGGATGAAAAGGAAATCACTCGGGCCACACACCCACGTAAGAAAACGATACTAGGCAACCATCTAAGCTTTCAAATAATTCTCTGAACACGAGTCAAATAATGAAACAACGATAAGATAAGACAACGTATAGGGAAAGAAAAAGGCAGACACTTGAAAAACAACAAGCTTGTTTCAAAAGGCGATGCATGAACTTCAAAACTTTTGATGATGATGATGTGTGGCGCTTTATGGCGCAAGGGCCAATTCATGGCCAAAGAGTGCCATTTTGATAGACTAGAGATATGAACACTTATATATATTGTAAATGATGAGTGGCTGTAAAGGGGCCTTAAAATTCCTCGTGCTAATGCGGGTAAAAACTTAAGTATTAAAATCATGACAGTGGCGTGAAATATGTGCAGTGAGATTGAATGTCAAAAGGTCATGATAATAAGACTATGGTGGATATGTAGTCACCACAGGTCCTGTTACAGATCACCTTGAAATATGCAGTGAAAACTGCCTACATCATTTAAAAACGTAAACAATGAGTGAATTTTAAAAATCGGATCCCTACCGATAAGCATCTCAAGGTGTAGTGGGAGCTGCTGTATGTAGGGCCCTAAAAAGTGCTTTTTCCTTAGAGCGTCCAACTCATTACACTGAACGAGGATGTGGAAAACCGTAAGTGGTTCTCCACATCTCGCACACAATGGTGGATCACTGGCAGACAGAATATATGAGTGTGTAGAGTATGTATGCCCTGTTGTTAGCCTTGTGAGTGTCACTTCTGTATGTCGCGATTTAGATAGGGGCGGCCAGTGACCAAGTTGTGGCTTAATAACATGTAGTTTATTATTTGTGTGTCTATCCCACAAGTTTTGCCAATAACCTCTGAGTTGTCGTTTTAGGAAAGGTTTCATGTCAAGTGCAGGGATTGGTATTGATACATTAGCGGCATCGTTGCTGGCGGATGCAGCCAGCTCATCTGCCAAAACGTTTCCCTGTATCTCACAGTGCCCCGGCACCAAGCAGACTACAACATGCTGTTTGGATGAGTAGACTGTGCATAAGAGTGAATAAAGGGACTCAAGAACTGGGTTTTTGCGTTTTGTAAGTGTATTCAAGGCTTTTACCACGCTCAGAGAATCCGTGTAAATTACCGCTTTTTGTAGTTTTATATGTGCAATGTGTTTAACAGCTGCAAGTATTGCGTAAGCTTCTCCTGTGAAAATGCTAGCATCAGGATGCAGGACGCCAGTATCTGAGAAGGATGGGCCAATGGCTGCGTATGAAACAGAAGTGTTGGAATTTGAGGCATCTGTAAAGAACTCAGGGCATGTGTACTTTTATTGTAGTTCTAGGAAGTATGTGCGAATATGTACAATGGGTGCGTGCTTTGTAATCTCTAAAAAGACACATCACAATCTAGCAATTGCCACCGCCATGGCGGCAGACATGCTGCGGGAGCCATCAAACGATATTCGAGTGACACACCGGTTTGCACAGCAAGGCCCCTCACACGAAGTGAATAGGGCTGTTTTAAAGATGGCCGGTTTTCAAACAAAACAGAAGTAGACATGTCATCAATTGTGAAGTGTGAAGGGTGGTCGTTGTCTGCCTTTGCTTTGAGATAACATAGAAAAGACATATAACATCTCTGTAGATGAAGTAACCATTCGTTTGATTTCACGTACAGGCCTTCAACGGGGCTGGTGCGAAAGGCACCCGTAGAGAGGCGGATGCCTAGATGGTGAATAGGGTCAAGCATTTAAGGGCGGTAGGTGTCGCAGACAGATAGGTTATTGCTCCATAATCCCCCACGTAGTGCGTGACAGCACTTTTAGAACATTCATGGTTCTGATGCACTTGTTTTTTAGATACTTAATGTGTGGTACGAAGGTTAGCTTGGTGTCCAGAATTAAGCCTAAGAATTTGTATTCGGCATTAACAGACAGGCATTGACCATCCAATTGAAAGTCAGGGTCGGGGTGAGTGCCTCTCTTTCTAGAGAACAAGACACACGTGCTTTTTTGTGGGTTTAATCAGAATCCGTTTTCCTCCGCCCATTGGGAGACCTTGTTCAAGCCAAGCTGAACCTGCCGCTCACTAACTGCTAGGTTACAAGACTTAAATCCAAGCTAGACGTCATCGACATGTGTACAGTAAAACATAATTTGTGGGATGAAATGATGCAAAAAATTCATTTTGACAATAAAAAGAGTACAGCTAAGTACACCACCTTGCGGCACTCCTGTTTCTTAGACAAATGTTTGGGAAAGAATGCTGCCGATTCTGACACGGAATGTACAATTGGACAAGTAGCTTTCGATAATAGTAAACATCCTGCCACGCACACCAAGATTGGACAGGTCTCTTAATATTCCGAATCTCCAGGTCGTATCGTAGGCTTTTTCGATGTCGAGGAACACAGAAAGAAAGTATTGTTT